GGGGGGGGGGGGGGGGGGGGGGGGGGGGAGCGCCGAGCTCAGCGCGGCCGATAAAACCCGTCTCCCATCCGGCCCCAGGCTTCTTTATGTAGGTGCAAGTCAGCCGTAACTTGAAGTTAGCGTTAACAGGGTGAGCGATGATTTTCCCGGCACGGGTCTCTCGCGGGGCAGTCCTGACTCTCTGGCGTGCCCCTCTGCTGAGCGGCAGCAAGGCAGGGCTGGCAGAAACGCCCAGGTGAGAAACCTTCTCAACTGAAGTGGTGCTTCACATCCGAAAAGCACTTTGGAGAAGCGGTGGGGGCAGTTTTACAGCTATTTTCTGACGCACCCAAAGGAAGCTGCTGTTACTTTTAGTTCACGCTTCAGCACTGACCCTCTCTCGTTCCCATAACCGAGGTCCCTGAGCAGGAATCCTGCAGCAGCTCAACTGGCTGCAAGTCTTCTGCTCGAAGTTTGCAGAACAAAAATTTATCGTTTCTAGATATTATTTGCTAGACAATCGTTTCCTTCCTCAGCTCCACTTCATTGGATCCTGTCTGTCTCTATTAATGACTTCAGCGTTGCCTCTCCACGTGCAGCCCCACTTCAATCAAGCCCTGCTACGTCAGGGCTGTTCCGCTAAGCGATTTATTGTACGGTGGCAAACCTGGCAGGAGCTCTGTCGCGCTGTGATTATAAGTGTTTGTAGTCATTACCTCAGGAGTAGCGTCACCTGTATTAAACCTGCACCGGAGTTCGGGGCTCTTAACGAGTTCAGGGTCACATTTCCAAGGGCAGCCTCATGTTTTGAGTGCGCAGGGGATGCGCGGCGGCACCTCGCTCCACCAGAAACCCCGCAGCGTGCCGCGCCGCCGCTCCCTTTGTGCGCAGAGCGGACAGGTTTTTGTGAATGCGGTGGCTGTACGCTGGTCTGACCAAAAACTGTACTTTAGAAGTGGCATTCAAGCGCCATGTTTCTGTCCCCAGGCGATTGCACACTACGAGCAGGCTGCAGACTATTACAAAGGAGAGGAGTCTAACAGGCAAGTGGTCTTTGTAAAAGAGTCACGACAGGGAAGGGCTGGAGACGGGGATTTGTCCTAGAAGGCCCACGCGCTTGCGCGGCTCGCCTGCCGGCCTCTTCTAAAATGTCCTTTGGGGGGATGCCCGAGTCCTGCTTAGATTTCTGTTTAAGGTTCTCATCCCGCACGCAGGCTTGTCTGGTTTGGGGTGCCCGTTTTGGGTGCAGAGGAAGCAGGGAGGGATTGAACGGTGTCTGACAGCAGGTCTGTGCTGAGCTGAAGGTCTTCGTGCCTTTCCGTGTGTTTTAATTTTGGCTGTTAAAAAGAAAATTCCCCTGATTTGCAGCTTTTTGGGTCCCACTTGTATATACGCTAAGTAGTACAGGTCATGCTTTGGAGGTACCAGGGTATGGATTTTATTTTTCTTCCCCAGGACACAATTAACTTACTTTAATGCTGTAATTGATTGTAGCTCAGCCAACAAGTGTCTGCTGAAGGTGGCCGCCTACGCCGCGCAGCTGGAGCAGTACCAGAAGGCGATCGAAATCTACGAGCAGGTGAGGATGCGCGCTTGTCCGACGGGGCTGGGGCAGCCTGGCTGCCAGCGCCTGCGCGGTGCTGCTGGTGTGCTGGCCGTGGCGTCCCTCGGCGGCTGAGCTCCTGTCCCTTGCGCTGGCATGGGGGCAGTTACGGCAGTCTCGGCGGTGGGGACGTGATGAGTTTTCTGCTGTAGGACCGAGTTAGCCACAGCTAAATTTTTAAGGACCCTCCTACACGTGGGACGTTTTCAGGTCCGGTCGGGGGTGGAAGGTTTTCTTGTTTAAATGGTGCTGCAGATCGGGTGAGAGACGCGAATTAGAGAAAATCCTCAGCCGCAAAATTTCTTGAAAATGGAAAGCGGGTCAGTGTGTCGGTCTCGCAAAATTGCCGTGGCCTAGAAGCTCCTAATCGTACGTATTTCGGGGCTGATTATGCCTTTATGAGATGTGGTTTGCTCCTTTGCTTTTAAGAGTTGCTATAACTTACCAAAGGCTTTTTTTTCCCCCTGAATTCTATTGTTTCTAGAGAAAGGCTGGGGGAAGCGGGGGGAAGGAAATCTGTAATTACGCTTTTGATCGTATTTACAAATACGTTTGGCAGAAAATTTCCCCCCAGATCTGTAAACTTGATTGCTCTGCCTTTGTACCAGGTATTTACCTGGGAATACTTGCAGCGCTGCTTTTGTGCTTCCGGAGGGTTAATATTGGAGCAGGTCCTCACCGAGTCGACTTGCCTTCCCCTTTCTGCGGGGGGACAGGACATACTGAGGTGGCGGTGCGGCGCCCCTGAGCTGGTGCAGTGGCTCCCTGGGAGGACGGGCTGCGTGGGCGCGCTCTCGCAGCTGCGTGCGGGTTTCCGACCTCGCCTGGGATTAGTTAAAAATCTGTCTGGCTTCCCGATAGCTTTTTGTACGGACGCTGGTGTTTTTTCCGTGGTCCTTTTTCGCGTTATGGTGCTGCGTGTCATTTTGATCAGCTGTCCTGTTTTTAATTCAGTTCTTCAGGATGCGGTTTTCTTTCCCAGCTCTAGTAATATCTTTTTGTGCCTAGGTCGGAACAAACACGATGGATAATCCTTTGCTCAAGTATAGCGCGAAAGAGTATTTCTTCAAAGCCGCTCTGTGCCACTTCATCGTGGATGAGCTGAACGCGAAGGTCAGTGGGCTCAGAGCGGTTATCCCGAATTTTCTGCATCCCTCTAATCCACCTTTGCCGGCTGGGACACGTTCTTGCGTGCACAGGGATTTGCGTGGCTGTTGCACGGACTGAAGCTCGAAGTGCCGTAGCGTCAGATGGGATTTACTGTGAATACTTGCTCTTGGTTTTACTGTGAATACTTCCCCAAGCTCTCTGCGCGGTTTTAGGAGTGGAAGGCAAAAGCTGAAAAAAAAAAAGCAAGTACTTTTGTGTGAAACGAGCGTAAGGGTTGTCTTCTCTCTTTCAGCTTGCGCTTGAGAAATACGAAGAAATGTTCCCAGCGTTCACGGATTCACGGGAGTGCAAGCTATTGAAAGTGAGTAAAGCCAGGAGTAAAATAATAGTCAGGCTTGAAAATGCATACCGCCCTTTACTTTGTGCTTCTTCACCTTGCCATGGATCTGGTCGTTTATTCGAACCTTTTAGAGGACATCAGACTCACTTTGCATTGGGTCTGTACCAGACTTGTGGAAGTAGCTGCAGCAGAAAGATGATTATTCTAGCTAACTTAAAAAAAAACCCCGAAAACAACCCAACAGACTATTTCTGCGTTCGTGGCGGGTGGTTTGAATGGGTTGCGAAGGTGCCGCTGCTGGACACGCGGGTGCCCGGCAGTGCGGGTGCAGAGGTCCCCCCTCTCCTTAGGAGTGGAAGGCAAAAGTTGAAAAAAAAAAAGCAAGTACTTTTGTGTGAAACGAGCGTAAGGGTTGTCTTCTCTCTTTCAGCTTGCGCTTGAGAAATACGAAGAAATGTTCCCAGCATTCACGGATTCACGGGAGTGCAAGCTATTGAAAGTGAGTAAAGCCAGGAGTAAAATAATAGTCAGGCTTGAAAATGCATACCGCCCTTTACTTTGTGCTTCTTCACCTGATCTGGGATCTGGTCGTTTATTCGAACCTTTTAGAGGACATCAGACGCATTGGGTTGCGAAGGTGCCGCTGCTGGACACGCGGGTGCCCGGCAGTGCGGGGCAGAGGTCCCCCCCCTCTCC